ACGGCCTTTTCTCATTCTTCTGTTCCCTAGAGGGAAAAGCTGAGGTTCCTCCAGCTGGGGCCTGAAGACTGGGCGACCTCCGTGTGCCCAGAATAGAATCTGCGTTAGTGGGTTGCTTGAAAGACCAGCCTGGACATTTAACCAAACCTTTGAACAGCCCCCCACAAACCGCCGGCGGCCAGACAGAGGAAGGGAACATGGTGCCTCTTCGCAGGTCGCTCTGAGGCCAATGCTGTCGGAAAAGGGGTAGAAATATGACCTTGCGATCCAAAGGGAGTTTCCTGCAGACAGTGCAGGCCAAGTTCCAGCCCCTCCAACGCCCCTTCCCCATTCCAAAGACCTTGCTGGCTCCCAGATGTCCCCATGGACCATTCATCAACCCCAAACTTTCCCTTTGGGGCAGTTCTAGCTTTGTTTCACAGCCTGACTCTGTTCCTGCCCCACTTGTCCCTAATTTCCAGGGCCTCCATGTGTCTAGGGTAGTGGCCAGAATCCCAGGTAGCTGCGGCCTTCTCCTTTGAGAGCTAGTCGTAGCCCTCGTTCGCATCCGGGAGAAAGAAAGTCAAATCCCAAACCCACAGCCCGCCGCGCGCAGAGAGCGGGTCCCAGCGGTCAGCGTCCTGAGGCAGGACCAGACTGCAAGAAGGCGAGGATGCGGGCCCCGCAGCTGACCCAGCCGGCATCCCCAGTCAGGTAGCGGTGGAGAAGCTCCATCATCTTGCTGCCAGCCGGGTTAACTTGGCTCCTTTGACCCTGGAGAGGGGAAGCCGAGTCTTTCCCTGCCATCCTTGCGGGGGCAGGACGGAGAAGCAGTCTGCAGGGGCCCCCTCCTGCGAGGGCCCAGCACTCGGGGCGAGGGAAGCTCTGGGCCACGACTCCCCTTCTTGGGCCAACGGTGGGGCACCCAGGCGATTTACAAAGAGGGGAGGGAAGGCGGGCAGGCAACAAGCTGCCCTTGGTCCGCGTGCCAGTGGGAGCCCCATTCGTCCCCCTTGCACCGCCCCCCAGAAGAAGGGATGGACTCATCTCCAGCGTAGCCTCTCGGCGGAAGGGCCCCCTCCTCCCCTCAGTGTCAGCGGGGTGGGGCCTGTACCCACGGTTGGGGGGCTACGGAGGGAGGGGGATGGGGGAAAAATCTAGCTGGGCCTCTTATCCCAGTGGGGTTTGGGTGCCTCCTACCCCGCTGCTGGGGGTACAGGTCCGGTCTGTCTGCCCCCCGGACTCACGCACTTACCCCACTCCACCTGTTGCCGGGATCGCCTCATTTCTGCACATCACTTTGAGGTGCCTGAGGGGGACCACAAAACCCTCCAAGCCTCTCTTTTGTGGTTCCAGCGAGGCGGGCATCTTTCATTTCTCCTTTTCCAGCTTTCGGGAAGCAGTTAGGGAATGTATGATGAAGCAGAAATGAGCCGTCAGGATGATATTTTAATGGCTTATATGTCACGTTGGTGCATGTGGCTTTGAACTGGAGCCGCTTGCGTTTCCTGCAGAGAGCGCCGCAAATCCCACTTGATAACTTCTACAACCCACAACTTTTTTTTTGTCACATTCACTCTTACTCTGTATATTTGGACGCGTTTCCTAAAAATACCCTCTTGTCAACGTTCCCCTTGGATATTCCACGAACAGGAGAGGAGAGGACTGACTTTTCTTTTTTGAAGAATTATTTTCCCTCTCCCCCTCCCGACGGCGTCTACCCTTCTCCCCTCAGGTCCCCTCCCTTGTTTTTTTTTTTTTTTTTTTTGAAAGGCAGGAGAGGTGGGTTCAAGATTTGTTCTCCCTGGTGAAAGCAGTACAGCCTCTAGAGAAAGCTTCTCCTTGCAGATAAGATTTTTACAACTGCAGTGGAGGCAGGATCCAAATTTCCCTTGTAGGCAGCAGGAAAGACTCTGAGTGGCTCCGATATATCTTTTTAAAAAACAAAGTATATAACAGTTTTTTTTTTAAACCACCCCTCAAGCCCCATCCCTTTGCCTTCGTTCCCCCATCCTTGTTCCACTCAAAGCTGGCAGGGAATTCGGGGGCTGCTGCACTCAGACTTGTTGCTGGGGACCGAACATTTGATATTTTTTTTCATTCTCAAATTTCTATTTCCCAGCACAACAAGCGCAAATGCTCAGCCAGTTTCCTTCAGACACCAGGAAACCATCCCAGCTAACAGAAGTCCAGTTTTGAGCAGGGAGAGCCCAGGGAAAGGGCAGCTCAGCTCGTCAGCCCCAAGCGAGAATCTAGTCGATGAAAAGACCAGAAAACCAGAAAGGAGGACAGGCCGACGCTGACCCTGCCTTCTTCCAGCCTGTGCAGCCCGAACAGGCGACTGGGCAAAAAATGTTCATTTTCATTTTCCTCTCGCCCAGGCACTGGTGAGTTTCCTAACGGGGCCGCCTGTGAAAGGATGAGTTGAGTTCTCTTTGTCTGAGAAAAGAGTTTAGGGCTGTGATTCAGCTGCAAAGAAGCCAAATGAAGTTAGAAACAAAGGGCAAATTGAAGGATTCCGACTCTTGGCTTTTTGTGTTTTCCTTACTAGAAAATAATTAGACCTAATGAATATGCAGACGCTTCAGCTAAACCCTCGGCCTGGGCTGCTGGGTTTTAAACAGAGCTGCGGAGAAATGCAACCTTCATCCCCCAACCCCCCGCATCCTCATGCATTTTTTGAAATGCATAAATGTTGCTCGCCTTAATTGATTGAGTCACAGGGATTTTTTTTCCTGCTTTTAAGTGCCATACTCCTCTACCTTTCAACAATCATTTTAATATATAGTCAATGGCTCTTTGTGGACGGGACAAAAAGCAACTACGCGCAGTTGTTGAATAGACTTTGCGCTGGGCAAAGACAGGTTAATCGAGGGCCGCATCGCGAAAACAAGCGAGTGTTGTATGTTTGCACTGAATCCAAATGTCTGCATTTTCCTAACTAAATCAAAGGGAGTGTTATTTCTTTTTCTGCTCACTCATCTGAAGGTAAGTAAATTTTCTCTGGCGATCAAAAGCCTGGTCGGCAACAAAGACCGCGCCCGCTTTTTCCACCGTCCTGGTGTGGTGAGTTACGGAATTTCAATAACTGTGACAAGGGTGACTGATTTGTGAACTAGAAAAGGTTTGAATGTCACAAAATTTACATTGGTCCTATCTATCGCAGATTTAAATACCGAAAAAAGTATTCGGGGATTTCTAGGGAGCTTTGGGCAGTCCTGAAGAACAATGGCGTGTTGGGAAATTTACAGTTTTACCTGAATGAAAGGGGCCAGGGTTGGGAACAGGAGTGCAGAGAGAGGGGTTAGTGGGGGCAGACACGGGAGACTAGGGAAAAGGGAGAAAAGAAAAGAATAACACAGGAAAGGAAAAAAAAAATAAAAATCAGCAACAATGTTTTCAATTTGCTAAAAAAAAAACCCCATACAAAAACAAAAAACCCTGAACCTGGAAAGTTGGAGCTCTCATCCACCTGTGCTTATTTTTTGGGGGGAGGAGGGAGCAGGAAGTCTGATTGATTTGATAACAGTGAGAAAATCGAGGCAACCGGTTATCCTCAGAAATCACATTTCTGGTAAAGAGAAAGTGGTGTGTGCCTGTGTGCTCCCGAGATCTTAAATTATAAACAGGAGGGGGACGAAGCAAGAGGGAAGCGAACTTCAAACGGAGCAAATAACAAAAGCCTCCTTTGCTGCCCTTCAAGGCGGGGACAGGGGGAAAGAAAGAAAAGAAAGTTGCTGAATCGGGACATTCTGGAAGTGCCTTAGCTGTGTTTACCAGCCCCATCCCCGCCTCCTGTTCTCGGAGACGCCCGAAGTCGCTAATCGCTCAGCTAAGAGCAGGTCTGAAGAAGGACAAGATAGAGAAAGGGAGATGGAGAGGGAAAGGGAGAGGGATACGGATAAAGAGGAGAGAGAATGTATATGACTGCGAAAAGGAAAAGAAATCGTGGCAAAAATTTTTTTCCATGAGAAGAGGGGAAAAATTTGGCTAAAAAAAAAGTTGCTACTCCTGGCAGCCCTGTTTGTCAAAAGGGGATGTCAAGCGCTTTACAATACCTGGGATTGATGAGGCGGGCGGGCCAATGAAAGGCGCGCGGCGCCTCGGCGCGCCCTCCGTTGGCGCGGCGGCTGCGGGCGGGGGGAGCGCAGGCACACCAATGGGCGCCCGCGTCGGCAGCACGTGACGCCTCCCCCTGCTCCCATTCATCAAGGGGGGGACGGTGTCGTCCTTTCAATTCATTTATCTGCAGGAATGATTGCTGCTATCAGTCTCGCGCTCACCGCCCGGCTGAGGAGGTGAAAGTTTCTCCCCAGGAAGATAAACCGCAAAAGACAATATTGTGCATGATTTGCGCCTTTTCTTTGGCTTTTTCTTTCTTTCTTTTTTTTCTCCCCCTCCACCCCCCCTTTTTTTTTTTTTTTTTTTTTTGCAAAAAGCAGAGGGGGAAAAAGGAGAGTGAAGGAGCGAGGAGGCGAGCCTGAGAGAAAGGAGAGAGAGAGAGAGAGAGAGAGAAAAGAAAGGGCGAGGGGCTAGTAGAGAAGTGAGGAGGGGCGTACGGCGCGAGGCGGAGAGAGGGCTAGCAGTCGCTGCTCCGGCGCTCACATTCCTCTATGCTACAAATCCGGGAGGAAGTTTTTTTGGGGAGCTGAGATGCTCCATGCCTTTCCCTGGGCAGCCTTGACGCGGGGTCCTCTCGGCAGAGACTGAGCGGCGAGAAAGTGCTAGCCGGGCCGGCAAGGTCTGCTCGGCGGGCGCCGGAGCCCGCCTTGCTCGCGGCCCGCAGCAGTCAGGCTTCCCCGCGCTTGGCCGGGCGGGCGCCCCGGCGCTCCGCGCCGCTGCCTGCAGGCTAGGACTTCGCGAGGTGGGTCGACTCCTCCTCCCTCCTCTTCTTCTTCCTCCTCTTCCTCCGCCTCCCGTTCCTCCTCCTCCACTACCTCCTCCTCCTCCTAATTTTCCCTCCTCGGCGGGCGAGGGTGGGGGGGGGCGGGGGAGGCCGGGGCTCGCCCCGAGCAGCCACGATGCTCCTGGACGCCGGCCCCCAGTACCCCGCGATCGGCGTGACCACCTTTGGCGCGTCCCGCCACCACTCGGCGGGCGACGTGGCCGAGCGCGACGTGGGCCTGGGCATCAACCCGTTCGCCGACGGCATGGGTGCCTTCAAGCTCAACCCCAGCTCGCACGAGCTGGCCTCCGCGGGCCAGACGGCCTTCACGTCTCAGGCTCCCGGCTACGCGGCTGCGGCGGCCCTGGGACATCACCACCATCCGGGCCACGTCGGCTCCTATTCGAGCGCAGCCTTCAACTCCACGCGGGACTTTCTGTTCCGCAACCGGGGCTTTGGCGACGCGGCGGCTGCAGCCAGCGCGCAGCACAGTCTGTTCGCTGCTTCAGCCGGGGGCTTCGGGGGCCCACACGGCCACACGGACGCCGCGGGCCACCTCCTCTTCCCCGGCCTTCACGAGCAGGCGGCGGGCCATGCATCGCCCAACGTGGTCAACGGGCAGATGAGGCTTGGCTTCTCGGGGGACATGTACCCGCGGCCCGAGCAGTATGGCCAGGTGACCAGTCCGCGTTCAGAGCACTATGCCGCGCCGCAGCTGCACGGCTACGGGCCCATGAACGTGAACATGGCCGCGCATCACGGCGCCGGCGCCTTCTTCCGCTATATGCGCCAGCCCATCAAACAGGAGCTCATCTGCAAGTGGATCGAGCCCGAGCAGCTGGCCAACCCCAAAAAGTCGTGCAACAAAACTTTCAGCACCATGCACGAGCTGGTCACGCACGTCACAGTGGAGCACGTCGGCGGACCCGAGCAGAGTAACCACATCTGCTTCTGGGAGGAGTGTCCGCGCGAGGGCAAGCCCTTCAAAGCCAAATACAAACTGGTCAACCACATCCGCGTGCACACGGGCGAGAAGCCCTTCCCCTGCCCCTTCCCTGGCTGCGGCAAGGTCTTCGCCCGTTCTGAGAACTTAAAGATCCACAAAAGGACGCACACAGGTACGGAAACGGCTGTCCTTGACACCCCTCGTTCCCTATCCCAGGCCTGGGACCCGAAATCCAAAAGTCAGCGGCGGGGGCGCACAAACCCGGCCTCGGTTGGGTCTGGAAGTCAGATTCCAGCAGGCAGACAGCGAAAATGTGTGCTGGTTTTTAGTTTGAAGCTTGAAATTCTGGTAAAGTACAGAGAGGATCGGATTAGAGGGATCTAGGGTTATAGATTTTTAAATGAGAACTAAAAAAAGGCGGGGAGAGCTGAGAGACAAACCCTGTTTTGCGGAGCCCTTGGTGCGCGCGAAGCCGGGAGAGGTGGCCGGCTCCCGGCGGCGGCGGCAGCGGAGGCGCCAGCCGCTCCAGCTGCAGGCGAATCTAAACGTTTGCTTTCGGCCAACATCCCCTCTCCACGCACCTTAGTGAGGACTTTGCCAAAGGAAGGAGCTGAGGAAATTGGAGGAGATCGGATGAAGGGGCCCAGAAAGAAACAAAAATAGAGACAGAAAAGAGGGGATGGCGATGGTGAAAGGAAGTCAATCGGGCCTGAGGGGGCTTATGCATATTTAAAGAGCCCCGATTTTAGTAGTGACTTGTTTGTGAGCAGGCTTGAGGAGTCGGGGAAGTCAGCAGAAGGCGGAGAAGTCCGCTTTGTCAATTAGATTCTGTGAGGACTTTTCGAAACACCGAATGCCCTGAGTTGGCCTTTAAAAATAAATAGACCGGTCGGGCGCAGTTAAAAGAAAAGTTCGCGGCGAGCTCAGGGCTCTAGTGTGGGTTGGGCAGGCCGTTCTGGGCCTCTTGGGCCAACAAGGCCGGGAATCCGGTCTGCTTCCCTGTCCTGGTTTGCCCGGGTGATTTCTGAGTACTGCGTTTGGAACTTGGCGTTTTACGCCGGAGCCAGGGAAGAATTTGCGGCGCCGAGCTCTCGGCCCGGATTATCCTATAAAATGTGAGTGTGTATAGGGGTGGGGTGGGGTGGGGGCGGCGACGAGCGGGGTGCGGAGCGTCGGGGAGGGGGTAAGGGGAGGAGAGAAGAGCAAAACAGCAGGAGAATCGGCCCGGAATGTGAAAATTAGAAACCTAGAGCTAGGTAGAAGCTGCCTGAAGTCGTCTGTATAGCCCCGGGCCTAAAAACCAGCAGCCAGACCTGCTGCTACTCTGGGATCTAAAAAACTACCACGACCACTAATAATAATAATAATAAAATAATAAAATCTGGATCTAATTGGATTAAGAGTTAAAATAGTTCAGATGTTTAAAATTCCAATGCAGATATATGACTTTGTTAAAGATCCCGGTTTTGAGCTTGCAAAGTGTTAACCTTGGGCCGCTGCCTTTTTAATTTTTGTTTTTATTTTTTCCTTTTGTTTAATTTTTAGAAAAGAGCCGCGGGGTTTGTTCTAACCAGACCTGTCTCTTTCTTGCCTTTCGCACCAGGGGAGAAGCCCTTCAAGTGCGAGTTCGAGGGCTGCGACCGACGCTTCGCCAATAGCAGCGATCGCAAGAAGCACATGCACGTGCACACGAGTGACAAGCCCTATCTTTGCAAGATGTGCGACAAATCCTACACGCACCCCAGCTCGTTGCGCAAACACATGAAGGTAATCGCCGCGCTCTCGCCGCCCGCCTTGGAGCCAAGAGCCCGCTCAGCTCTTCGGCCGGGGTCGGGCGGCGAGTGGCAGCCGGGCGGTGGCAGGAGCCGGCAGAGGCGGAAAGGCAACGATTCCTCTCTGCTGACTGGGGCTGGGCAGAGAGGGCGGGGGCTGGGAGAGGAGATGGGGCCACCCAAGACCGTTCTAAATTTACTGTTTAATAATAAAAATCAAAAGAAGTGAGCACTCTAGCAGAGGCCGCGACTGATGGGGAGCCAGGACAGCCCAAGCGGGATGATGCTGACGAAGCTGCGGCCATGGCGGCTTGGCTGGCAGCGTTGGGCAGAGAGTTGGGGTCTTGCACGCGGTCCTGAGCGCTGGCTCCCCTAACCCTGAGCAAGCAACGTTCAGCGGCTGCCGTGAGGTCCATCTCAGGCTCTGGCCTCACATCCAGCCTCCCCCTCCCTAGATATTTTCTTTTGTTGAGTCCCCAGGGCACTGTCCCTCCGCAGAGCCCAGCCTCTGCAGGGCCGAGGCGGGGCAACCAAGCCCAAGTCCCGCGGGTCCGGCCTCCCTGGAGTTCAAGGGGATCCAGGGCTCCTGGGGGAGGCAGCGCGCGGCCTTCATCCCCCCAGGCGGCCGCCGCGGCGGGTCTTTATCTCCGTAAAAACGCGACTTTATTCCCGCAGGTCCACGAATCCTCCTCGCAGGGCTCTCAACCTTCGCCGGCCGCCAGCTCGGGCTATGAGTCCTCCACGCCGCCCACCATCGTGTCTCCCTCCACAGACAACCCGACCACCAGCTCCCTGTCGCCCTCCTCCTCCGCGGTCCACCACACAGCCGGCCACAGCGCGCTCTCTTCCAATTTTAACGAATGGTACGTGTAAAATCAGAAACAAAACACCGAACAAAACCCTATTTAAGAGACTGAGCACACACACACATACAAAATATTACTGAAAGAACCCTGAGCATCAAAAGAGTCCCCTCCCCACCCCCTAATCCTATTTTTTCTAAACCTGCCGATAGACCCAGGACCGAGTAAGAGAGAAGCACCAAACCTTTACATTTTTTTTTTCTTAATTTGGCAAAGGCTTGGTAGCCAAGGGGTGGGAGCGGGGTGGAGAAGAAGGCGGTCGCCTGACCAAATGCCGCCAACCCCGAGGGCCAGTTTCTCCTGGGAATCTGAAAAGGCTCTCTGGGAGTCGGCTTTTTTTTTTCTTTCTTCTTTGCATTCTTGTAAATACAGAATTATTAGCTTAAAACTGTACTGTTGGATTCTGTATATAGTTATATCTTGGTTGGAACGGGGGGGTGGGGTGGGATCGTGGCGTTGTGGTCTTTGCATTGGGGAGGGGGGAGGGGCTGGGGGGAGGGCGGAGGGGGGAGGGGTGGGCGGCCGAAAGCCAACTGTTTGTACTGAATGGCAAGAATGTTCTAGTAAATGTGTACCAAAATGTGAATTACTTTGTACGATTACAGTCTCCACGTCGATCTAACAGAATATTATTGGTATTAATGTGCTTTTTTTGTATAAAGTGCAAACATTTCGTCCCAAAGTCTAAGTACTTTAGTGCAGTAAAATGTTGTTTTCACGTCCTGTCAAGAATTCGTATAGTACGAGCCTGGATCTGCGTGTCAAACTGTTCCATTTGTTTATGTAAAGTGATATTAAAAGAAGATATAAACTATAACTGTCCGTTGCTTTTGGCAAAAGATACAACCACATAATGTATATAATTCCTAGTTTCCATATTTATCCGCATGTAAAGGGCTGGTTTATTCATGTTACAGCTATTCAATATTTATGGCTAGAAGAACTCGTATGTACACTTTAGTTTCCAGAACTGTTTGGTAACCTTTCGTACGTTATTAAAGATTCTTAAATCTCAGTGATTGTGGTAGGAATTTCTTCTTCATCCCCAGCAACCTGCTGCCTCTTCTGCCAGCCTTAGTGGGTCTTGGGAAAAGCTCACCAGTCTTCCCTTTCTGTCATCGCAGGTCATATAAACGTGATAAATGAACGCTACCCTGCTGGCTCTCCGAGAGGGTGTAATTAGTATTTATATCAAAATTTATGAAACAAATTTTCGGCCGCAGTATAATTTAAATGACCTTTGCAGACATAGAATAACAACCATAAAAATAACAGAAATAGATTGCGCAGGCGACATCAATATTAATGTAGGCGAATTGTCAGAAGCTCAAGGACTCGCTCTGCAGCTTTGCAAATGAACTTGCAGCCAAGGGTTCTGCTGTCCCCCAAATTAAATTCCCCGAGTTGAAACCAAGTTGCAGATTTACAATATCATATTTTAAATTGCTGTCTTCAATTAAACCATTTATGGCCATAATTAATTTTCTGGATGTCGATGCATGCTTTTCCAGGCCTTCCTTCTTTGTACGAAAGTAAACCTCCATAAAGCATTTTACTTATATTTCTTCAAACGTGATGCTAATTTAAATTAATTACTTCCTGTGATACGTTATTATTCCTATAATTTTGCCAGTTATTAGTTCTCTCAAAAATACATATAGAGAAGAGAATTATTTTATGTAATTTGATTATCTATCTCTTTTATTTATTTCTCATTTACTTAAGAAATTCGTTCCATTGGCTGGCGTTGATACAGTAAATTTGTAAATGAGAAGACAATATAAAAAATCTAAATTACTTGTGCTTAATGACTGTAGCAGAACGCCTTTTCTCTAAATCAGATTGTCTTTCTTGCAGTTTAGTTTGATAGATTTGCAAGCTATGCTGCTCCCTCGAAGTTAGCTGCGCTGGTAGGAACGTGAGCTTCTTTGTCTCTGGTTGTAGCTTGCATGATCGCCCCATTAAGCAGACAGCGTAGCCGGAGATCACAAATCAGGGCCTTGGCTGTAGTTGCAAGGGTGCTGATGTGTCAGAGCACAAGACGGAAACTGAACCCACTGTAGGCAAGTAGGAACCGAGACTTGCATCTTTAATATACAATGTTATGTGTGACTCTGAGAAGGAAAGCAAGACGGAAAAACCCTCAAGAGTATGAGAACCGCTTAAGATACTCATATCTGTTTCGAAGTGTACCATTGACCAATTACAAAATCAAAATATTAAATTCACTTAGAATTTTTTTGACTCGTCCTTTCATTGCTTGCTATTTGTATTTGTCACTTTTAGGCAGCAAAGTTTTTCTAGGTAAGGAGGGGATTTGCTACACTTTCTGTAGCACATCAAAAACTAGAGACAGTGGTGTTTAACTTTTAAAAAATTGTTTTTGTGATCTATAAGAGTAAAGATTAACCTTTCATGAAAAGAGCGCCACCTTGCAAGGTTTGGTGAGATTTAAGGAAGTTGAACACCTAAGCAGAAATTGTTGCTGGTTCCGAAAATCTGTGAGACTATAAGCTGGCCCCAGTTGGCTCTGGAGGTTTAAAATTAACTAACAGCATAGTAGTTGAAGTGATTCCAGACATTAGGGCCAATAATTAATAAACATAGAAAATAGCTCATCTCTCTAGGAAAGAAAGGTAAACACCTCAATTAATAATCCTTCCCTTTCCTTTAGAGATTAGAATGTCTGGGAGTCTGATATAAGTATAATAATAATAACAACAGTACTTTTATAACTTTGTTAGTATATTTAGGAAGATAGTCAATGAGTGTATTTTTCCTTTGACCATTCCTGAAAGCAGTTTACTTCAAATTTGGAAATATAAATGCCTCATTATTTGTTATGTACCTGATGCCTTTTTAAACTTTAATAACATAGTATAATAATACAATATCATACTATGATATATGATTTAAGTAGGATATTTTAAAGATAAATTTTAGGGATAAATGTTTACTTCAAAACTACTTCATATTAATTTTTTAGACATTGAATGCCAAATAATTTTTTTTTAGAAAACCATTTGAGGAGTACTGTGTGTGTGTGTTTGTGAATAACCTCACTCACCAGAAAGGAACTTTTATAGTAGAAGCCAATATTTATGCCAGTCCCCCTTATGCATTCTCTTCTCCAACACTTATCCCAAAGAAAAAGTCATTAATGATGTAGGTTGCCTAAAATAATGCTTCAAACTTAAATGTAGTCTATTATTTTGCTGGTACCTTTAATGTTTGCTTCTTGGGATGTATTCTTTCTACTTTTCTTCATGGGCTATTAGGTTTTGAAATACATGAATGTGAACAGCGAAATATATTGTTAGACCCTATTTAGCAGGAGCTGAAGATGCTGCAAATGGCTGGTTTGTGTGTGTAGCTGTGGATTTTGATTTAGGCAGAAAGCCATCCTGGTTCATATTTTGACTGCATTGTTTTCTATCACTATCAAATGATTAGAACAGCTAACAAGTTATTAAAAAGTTATATTGCGTCAACAAAAGATGCCTGACTACAAGCAACTGTATTTGAGAAATGAACAGAAATGAGTTGTGGTATGTGTGTGTGTGTACATTTATAGAGTAAGCATGTAAATATACAAGCTCCATTTATATGGGGGCTAAGTAATTTTCAAACATTTCAGATCCTTTGTTTTCTTCTTCAAAAGCTACCCCCAACTGCTTTAAGCGTTTGCAGCTGATGATTTTGATTTTTTAAAGTCAAGCATTCAAGTTAACCTTTAAGAAGCAAACCACCTCCAAAAGAAAGATGTAACCTTTCAATTGCCCCATATGCTTATCATTTTTTTTCTTTCTTTTTTTTTTCTTTAGCTGACAGTGTAAATAGCACTAACCTTCTTTGCTCATGGGCCTGGCATTTAGATGTTTTTATTTGTTGATGGTGAAGTTTTCTCAGAACTTTTAAAGGGCTGGCAACAGAACTACATTCCCCAAATACCTTGCCCAGCCCTGAAACCTTCCTGATGTTCCCTTTTAGAGGTCAAGCTGTCATCAGTGTCCTGGTCCCCTTGTGAATCAGTATTGGTGGAGTTGGTACCTGAGCATACTGCTTTCCAGGAAGCAGCTTGGGGAAGGCTCTGGTCCTTAAAGAGAAGCACCAATTTATGATGGGCCGGGAGTAACTATATGTGGTCTGGCAAACTCAAAATGAAGGCACTGAGCTTGTGTCTTTGATTATTTGTGAACTAGATATGAAGTCAGCAGATTCCCAGCTCACATTTCTTTCTTTTTTTTTTTTTCCAACTCAAAATACTAATTACAAATTTATCTTGTCCTCTCTAGGTACAGAGTTCTCGCTTGCTCCTAGCATCAAGTGTAGTTCTTAGAACTATGTGTTCATATTAGGAAAACAAAGTGTTGTTTTTATAAAATTTGCCACAGTTCATATTACTCTCTGGTTTTAGAATTCTTGAAAACAGAGTGGCAGTGGAAAGATTTATCTCATCTATGCCAGGCAAACCTGGTTCATGTTGCTATAGGTTCATATTACTCAGGGTGCTGAGGTTTTTTTTTTTTCCCCAGCTTTTTACCACCCTATTCACTATCAGTAATATGTACCCATTTAAACTGGTTAGATGTAGAATGTAAGATTTTATAAGAGTAACTATACAGCAATCTCTTTTTTTTTCAAATGATAATCACTAGTTTGGGGCAAGAAATAAGAAAAAAATGGTAATAACTTTCTATAGCATGCCACATTTGAGCCTTTTCCTCAAAGTTTATTGCAAGTATAATGGCATAATATACACAAAAAATGAGCAGTGTTCTCCATTAATCTATGCAAGTCAGGTTCATTCCAGAGTGTCTCACCAAGTAAGAGGAAACACGATCAGCCCAAACCAGGGGCTATTTTTACCATGCAAGCTGAATTCTGGCATTAGTTCCTAACGTTTATTTCCACTTTAGAGCAAGGAGCTAAAACAGTATGAAGTTTCCAGTTGATGCTATACTGGAGGTGGGTTTTTCAAGAATAAGAAACTGAATTTAGCTATCTAGTATGGAAATGACATTGCTTGTCAATGATACTAGAGACTTCCATTGTCTGTCTCTTGTCCACAAAATTTTGACTGCCTCTGATATTGCGGGTCATCTTTGTAAGTTTATGCAGAAGAATTCACGGGTTGTGAAACTTACACAGTGATATTTTCACCTACAGCATACACAAGAATCAACTATTAAGCATGGATATAAACAGATGGGAATTATATCTCTCTAAAAAAATAAAACAACAGACGTTCGAAGGCCAGCGACTTTAGCAAACTCAAAAAAAAATTACGATTATTTTGCTTCTGTCTTTTGTGTAATAATCCCCGTTAAGCTACAGAAAACATAAGGACATAAGGAAGGTGAGAGAAGCTTACATCCTAACTCCTTTTAAATTTTTTTTCTGTCTATCCGGGAAAATCCTAGCC